CCCACTGCTCCCCACGGGGAGCCACACCATGGCCGCCCACTGCTCCCCATGGGGAGGGGTTAAATGCAGAGAGGGAATTTCTCCAGTGTGAGATCAATAAAGTTCCATTATTAGAATGTAATTATTGAAGTCGGTCTTGTTTTACGGACCATAAAGCTTTAAAGGTTGTCTTTCTGCGCAGGTGCAGAGAGGTCAGAGGTCATCATGGTCAGACAGAGTCGCAGGAGGGACAGGTGCGGTTGCTGGATCCAGCCTCCTCCGTCACGCTGTTCCATTTTCAGCTCTGACCTCCAGATGTTGTGTTCCTCCTCCAGGTGTTTCCTTCCTGCAGCAGAGGGCGGCGTGGCGAAGGTTCGATTCCCTCGGAGCCCGGATCAGAAGGTTCTGCCTCCAGCTCAGCAGGTGTATAAACCTAACCCCCCTCCCCCTCCTGCTGCTGATCCATCTCACCAATTGAACGTTTGTTTCCAGGCTTCAGCATCCGGAAGCTGCGACATGCGGCCCTGCAGTACCGCCACAGCGGGGGAAAAGAGAGCGAAGGATGGGCGGAGCCGAGCCGGAGGCCAGGGTTCTGCTGGAGGTTCAGGGGAGACTCAGATGAAGAGAAGCAGACAGAACGGGTCAGTCTGGTTCTTATGGTCTCCATAACAGAAGCTTTTAGGTCCTGATCTGGACCTTTGGCGGTTAGATTGGACCCGTTTGTGGATCAGATGATTTTTGGACCACTGTCCCGCTGAGTTGATGGTTTTTCCTGCAGAAACCAGGTGGCTGCGGTTGTTCTCTGCGGACCCAAAGCCCCCGGGTCATGTGACCCAGCTGGAGGTGCGTGTCTGTAAGTTAATCAGAACCGAGCTTCTGGACCCGTCATTGCAGCTGTTTCTGTTCCAGCAGATGTTTCTGGTTCTGAGCAGCAGGGGGCAGCAGAGGAAAGCCGAGCGGCTCAGGTGAGGCCGGCGGTCCTGGTGGCTCCAGGCCGTGTTTGCGTGCGGTTAGCATGTAACAGGCATGTTGTGGCGTGTGTGCAGCTGCAGAGCGTGGGCTCCCTGAAGGTCACCATCCAGCAGAGCAGCGACAGCAGGGCGTTTGGCCACGCCCACCCACACCCGGCTCCTCTCCACTGCCATGTCTGTAAGCTCACCTGTGGCTCCCAGCAGGTGAGGAGCAGCCGGCGGTGATGATCAGAGAACCACAGAAGGAAAACTCAAAGGCAGGGTGTGTTTCTGCTGTCCAGGACTTCCAGGACCACATGACCGGGTCAGAACACCTGAGGAAGCTGCAGGACGTCACCCAAAGCATCCGGCTGAATGCACACCCCCTGCTGGACAGGTGCGGCCTCACACACATCCATCATTAGCAGGGAGAACAGGTTCTGGTTGTAACCTCTGTCTGCCTGCAGAGGGCGCCGACCTCAGACACAGCGCTGGTGTGACACCTGCCAGAGCCACTTCACTGGTGACATCATCGTCCACAGAAGGACAGCCCAGCACAAGGTGAGGGGGGAGGGGGGCTCTTCATCATCTTCATCATCATCTTCATCCTCTGTCTTTCATCCAGGTGTGCAAACAGCGGGGGCGGCCCTTCTGTCCAGTCTGCCACAGACACTTCAGGACCCCCAGGAAGTTTGTGGAGCACATGAAGTCTGCAGAGCACAAGGAGCAGGTCAGCAGGGGGCAGCAGAGGGCAGCAGGGGGCAGCAGA